AGCAGCATGCCTTTAGCACATATTGGCCATCTTGTGGGAAAAATGAGTGACGCATGTGCACTAGAGAATGCTGCACATACTGGCCCTGAGGGTTTCCTCCACAGCAGGCTTCTGGGACCACAGAGCTGCAGATACCAGAGTCCCCTGTAACATTCAGTCCTTTAAGCTTGAAGACTTCCCTTTGCCATTTTTATGAGTAGGTCTGTGGGTAATTAACTCCATTTTTGCCTGTGAAACTCCTTACCTGTTCTTTATTTCTGAAGGTCACCTTTGCCAGAGAAATTGTTCTTGGTCATCAGGTTCATTTGTTTCCCCTTCAGGACTTTAATAGGTCAGCCTTCTACTTCCTGGCTTATAAACGAGGCAAGTTTAATCTCGGTGATAATCCCTTATGTGTGAGGTGCTTCTGTTCCCTTGATGCTTTCATAATCCCATCTTTGATGTTTAATTTTGACCATTCCTTTCCCTTGGCCTGTGCAGTCTCGTTAGGATCAAAGGATCATGAAACTTTTCTTTTGGTACGAGGATATTTAGATCCTCCCATAGATTTGAGATGTTTTGTATTTATTTAAATAAACTTTCTAGCCCTTTGCCCATCTCTTCTATTTCTTAATTTGATAATGAGTGTTTGCCCTTTTGATGCTGCCCCGTAAAGTCACACTTTCTTCATTTGTTTTCATTCTGTTTTTCTTTGCATCTTTTCAAGTAGCAAATATTTTTATTCTCTCTGATGAATTCTGCTGCTGACATTATCATTAGCGTTTTTCATTTCATTCTTCATTTTTTGGCACAATATCTGTACAGTTTTTCTTTGCCTTTTTAAATAACTTGAACTTCTATGTTAAATTTTTAATCATGTTCATTTATTCTTTCCTTGATTTCATTCAATTGTTTCTCTCGTTTTCTTAAATTTCTCCAAGCATCTTTAAGGAATCATTTTAAATTCTTTTTTTTTTTCCTGGTCAGTCGTGGGGCCAGAACTCTGGGCCTGGGTGCTGTCCCTCAGCTCTTCAGCTCGAGGGTAGTGCTCTACCACTTGAGCCACAGTGTCACTTCCATTTTTTCGGCTGAGGAATCTAACCCAGGGCCTCATGCATGCAAGGCAAGCACTCAACCACTGAGCCACCTTCCCAGCCCTTAAATTCCTTTTCAAGCAATTTGTAAATAATCATTTCTTTGGGCCAACTAATGAAAGATTACTGTGTTCTTTTTTTTTTAATTTAATTTTATTTGTGAACATACTGTACAGAGGGGTTACAATTACATGGGCAGGATAATGCGTACATTTCTTACCAAGCATTGCAGCCTCCTCCTTTGGTTTACCCTTCACATCCCTTCCCAGCCTCCCCCTTCCCCCCCAATCCCAATCCTTCTCCTTCCCCCCCTTCCCCCCCCCCACACACAGACGTTGTAAAGCTCGTTTTGGACATGACAACTTGTACTTCTCATTGTTGCAACAGGTCCACCTGTATCCTTAAACAACTGGTTTTTCCCCATCTCCTCCACAAGTTATACTGACATCAAATATAGTGAAAGCAGGGGTTATACTGTGGGGGAGGGACATACAAAGCAACAAAGAGATAATCTTATAAATGCGTTAGAAACACATGCATGAAAGAAAAAAATCATTAAAATACATATCTAAGGGTTCATTTTCCTGACATCACATTATCTGACCTTTTCCGCTTGACTCATACATATACTAGATATTGCAAATAAGGGAAACCATGGGACCTATGTTTCTTTGGGCCTGGCTTACTTCACTTAATATAATTTTTTCCAAGTTTTTCCATTTCCTAACAAATGGGGCAATGTCATTCTTTCTGATGGAGGCATAGAATTCCATTGTGTATATATACCACATTTTCTTTATCCATTCATCTACTGAGGGGCATCTGGGTTGGTTCCATATCTTAGCTATGGTAAATAATGCTGCAATAAACATTGTTGTGCTGGTAGCTTTAGTGTGGTCTTGTTTGTAAACATTTGGGTAAATGCCCAAAAGTGGGATTGCTGGGTCATAGGGGAGTTCTATGTGAAGTCTTTTGAGGAACCTCCATACTGCTTTCCAAAGTGGTTGAACAAGTTTACATTCCCACCAACAATGAAGTAAGGTTCCTTTCTGTCCACATCCCCTCCAGCATCTGTTGTTGTTAGAGTTCTTGATTTTTGCCGTTCTAACTGGGGTGAGGTGATATCTCAATGTTGTTTTGATTTGCATTTCTTTTATGGCTAGGGATGTTGAACATTTCTTCATGTGTCTATTGGCCATCCTTCTTTCTTCTTCAGAGAAGTTTCTCTTTAAGTCTTTCGCCCACTTATTTATTGGGCAGTTGTTTCTTTGAGGATTTGTTGTTGGGGGATTTAACTTTTTGAGTTCCAAGTATATTTTAGATATGAGACCCTTGTCCGTTGTATGGCTAGTAAAGATCTTCTCCCAATCCGTGGGCTTTCTATTGATCTTGCTAGCTATGTCATTTGCCCTGCAGAAGCTCTGCAACTTTATGCAATCCCATTTGTCCAACCTTTCTTTGATTTGTTGTGTTTCCGGGTCTCTATTCAAAAAATTTCGGCCTGAGCCAAGGAGACTTAGGGTTTCTCCTATTCCATCCTGTAATGTTTTCAGAGTGTCTGCTTTGAGTTCAAGGTCTTTGATCCATTTGGAGTTGATTCTGGTGCAGGGTGACATATAAGGATCTAGCTTTAGTTTTCTACATGTAGTTAACCAATTTTGCCAGCACCATTTACTGAAGAGGCTGTCTTTCTTCCATTCTATTGTTTTAGCTCCCTTATCGAAGATTAGATGGCTATAGTACTGTGTTCTTAATCATGATATGTCTCCTCATTTTTGACATCTCTTGTTGCCTTATACTGATGTCCATGCTTTTTATGGAGCAAGCGTCTTATCCTGACTTTCCAGGCTAGACTTTTCCCTGTGTGGCAGGAGTGGGAAGGCACTTGACTGGATGGGACAGTGGCTTTGCCCCCAGTGAGGGTGCAGCTGTGTCGTGTCTGATTATCAGGAGATCCTTTGGATGAATGCTGTGGCACCGTGTGCTGTTGACTGGGGTCATTAGGAGCAATGGCTGCTAAACCACTCCCAATTTCTTCTTACTGCTTCCAGGAAAATCCCTTTTGGCTTTGGCTTTGGTTTGTAGGCCTGTTCGTCATAGCCGTGGCACCAGGATCTGATGGTTGAAGCACCCACAGAGCTGAGACCTGGTGCACAGGGACATATTCAGGGATTGGAGCAGTTGATGAACTATTTCTTGGGATTCAAGTACATTCATTGCTACATGGGTAATTATATGCATGTTATAGATGCTTGTGATGTCATATAAAAGCTGGAAATAGGAGCCCAGGCATGCTTAGACTTAGAGCATTTTATAGTTAGGGCAGCTCCCAGTTCTGAGGTGGAACTCAGAACAGGCACTCAGAGAGACCATGGCTCTAGGGTCCAGAATGCATTTTGAACCATCACTGTATGGTAATGGCACAATATGAGATGTGAGAGGGCCCAAAGCAGCCCAGAGTCCAGGTCCAAAGTAGTACTCACACAGTGGCTGTAAGTGGGTGGCTAGGCGTGAATTTGGGAGAGAGAGTGGCTCAGTTCCCAAAGTAGCCTAATAATAGTGGCTGTTTTCTTGAAGCAAGAAGTGTATGCAGCCATGTCTCAGACAAGTAAGGCTTATCATATGCCTTTTAAGAAAACACTTATTTATTTTCAATAATTTGCATATATTTGGCTCTTGTTTATTATGCTGCCTTTTTGAAGAATAAATTCCTTTGGCTCTAAAAGAATGTTCTTTCATGTATGGATTATTACAGCAGATAGGGTCTAAGTGTTTCCAGCACATTTATTTCCTTTTCCCCCAAGTTGTAATACACTTAATGAACTTTGAATAAAAGGTATATGAAAAAAAGCCATTGGCTGCCATCTGCAGACTTCATGTTCTAATGAGTCTACTTCCTAGAGGCCTCGTTTCCCTGGCTGCAAAATGATGATAAGTATTCTCTTACCTCCTAGGGCTTCTAGTTTGTTTCTTAATTAATAAGCAAATATTGAAGCCAGCTTCTGTTTTTACACGGATACTGGTATCCATGAGTAACCTGCTATCTACTTTGTAGGTCTTCTTTTTAACTTGCTTTCCATTTATCCACTGAGGCTAGGTAAATCCTGCAAGGTACATTTATACCTCCCATGAGCACACTGTCAAAAACGACTCCTTTTTGTCTTAAGAGCCCACACCTGGGCACTCGCCTTGACCTTCCTTGCTTCCAAATGTTCCTAGGGTCAGCTCTCAAAGATCCTTGCCATTGGCAGGAATACAATACATTGGAAAAAATACACAAATGTTTTACATATTGTTATATGTAAGACACTTGGCTAAGTAGTCTCCGATTCATCTAAGTAGGGAATTACAGGTCTTGAGTGCTCCTCATTCAAAACACTTGAGACCAGATTTGGATTTTTTTTTTGGCCAGAAGGGAGGGATTTAAAAAAATTTATGTGTAAATGTCTTAGGGTTAAAACTAAGTCAAAAACAAAATTCCTCTGAATTTCATATACACCTTTTACATACTGCCAGAAGATAATTTTGAACCATTTATTTAGCACACCCGCAGTGTGATGCAGATTTGTCACAAGTCTAGATGTGGAAATTGTCCATTTGTGGTATCCCATTGCCATTCAAAAACTGGTGGATTTGGGAACATTTTGGATTTGCGTTTGAGGGTTTCCCAACTGTATAGATGTTCAGAGAGAAAAACTTAAAGCTATCTAAACCATCAAGCATCAAATGTATTTGTCATATTTCTACAGTCTTTAAATAAAAGAAATTTTCTTCTTTGTTATTGGCCTCCCCCAAAAGTGGGACAGAGAGAAAGAATAGATTAAACACACCAGATGTTTTAGTTTGTTAAAATGTTTAATCTTCTCATTCGGCATTTATCTAAGTTCATTCACAGCATTTTTAGTGGGTCTTGTTGTTTATTTGTAGGTACAAGCCACTTATGATGTAACACGCTATGAAAATATTTTCTTTCTCTTGTGGATTCTGGAGCAGCTTCTTCAAATAGAAACGAAAGAGCACAGTTCATGTATAGATCATGATGACCCAGAAATCAAGAAATTTCTTCAGAAGCTTGATGGAACTGTCTTCCAACTCTCTGATGCATTTCCTTTATTTACATTTTATTTATGGAGACTGGGCATTCTCTTGAACTCAGCTAAAATGGAAATTGTTGGAAGTAGTGCACTTCCTTAACAGTTTACCAAATAGTACCAGAGACCACTCTTAAATTTTTCCTAGGAATATTTTTACATGAGCATTTTTAATTACTCTCATTGCAATTGTTAATTAAATGTAATGGTTCACTTTAAGTTGTGTGTAAAGGGTTATGTCATTTTTCTATGTAAAAAATCCATCCATTTTAGTTGAGAATGCCCTTTTTCTTACTATATAATTGTATCTTATGTCTGACACTTGTAATCTTAGCTTTATTATTCTCTAAAATAGACCATTTATTGTCTGTCTCATTCAAAAAAATGTTCAGTTGTGAAATATGTTCTTGTAATAGATGCCAAATGATAGAAAAATGGGTCTTAAACTTTTGTCACTTTAAACAGTTTAAAATAAACCATAGTAAGTGAAGGTTTAATATGCATTTGCTTAGCTCACTATGCTTATATCACTTTTACCTTTTTATATAGAAAAAGGAAAGTTTTTAACATTTGGAAACTTACTGATCTTTAATATAACCAACATTCAAGTATTTTTTAAAATATTAATTGTTGGGGCTGGGAAGGTGGCTCAGTGGTAGAGTGCTTACTTTGCATGCATGAGGCCCTGGGTTCAATTCCTCAGCACCACATAAGCAGAAAAAGCCAGAAGTGGGGCTGACACTCACGTGGTAGGGTGCTAGCCTTCAGCTGAAAAGCTGAGGGACAGCGCCCAGGCCCAGAGTTCAGGCCCCACGACCAACCAAAAAAATAAATAAAAATAAAATAAAATATTAATTGTTTAAAACACTATTTTACAATATTTCCTTTGATTCTGCTGATTTAATATCCTATTTCTATAACTGCAAAAATATGCTTAAGTTGTGTATAAGGAAGTCATTAGAGATACTTTTATTTTGTTGGTTGTGAGGCTTGAACTCTGGGCCTGGGCGCTGTCCCTCCCTGACCTCCTCAGCTCAAGGCAAACACTCTACCTCTTGAGCCACAGCACCACTTCCAGTTTTCTGTTGGTTAATTGGAAATAAGAGTCTCACAGATTTTCCTGCCTGGGCTGGCTTTGAACCACAATCCTCAGGTCTCAGCCTCCTGAATAGCTAGGATTACAGTCATGAGCCACTGGCTCCCAGCTAAAGATACTTTTATAAATACCAACATCCACTCAGAAAAAAAATCTTACACTTATTGAAAATATTAGTTGAATATGCCAGTTACACAATTTCTTTGTCTTCAATTATTAAAATTATAAAAAAGCTTAATGGGCATGTATCATTTACTCCACTATGGTACAATTTAGGAAACACCAAATAAAAGGGATTTTTAATTAATAATGTTGTGATATTGTTTTATAAGTTAGTTCTAATTCCTGCATGCCATTGGTAATGAGAAAAACACTTTGCTGATTCCTTTTACAGAGAATATAAAAGTATACCTGACAGTTAAGTTCAAACTGCCTTGGCACTTCCTGAGACTCACATGTATAGTTTTCCTGATGTTCTCAAAGTTTTATATATGTTTAACTATAAATCTTACAGCATAAAAGTTGAAACTATGCTCATACTTGTTTGGAATATTTTATGTTTTGTTGTTGTTTGTTTTGTTTTTTTTTAATCTGAAACTCTACAGGCTCATGTCTTGTCTGTGTCCATTTGCATCTCTGACATTTCTGGGTTAAAGAACCTGGCTAATCATGACCATAACCTTGTTATGGACATCTTCAAACTGCCATTTTCCTAAACAGTGCAAAGTGCCCTCCAAAATGACTCATAGCTAGAGTGCTTATGAAAGTAAGAAAAAAACAAATAGTATCATTTGTCCATAGATCTATAAATCAATGCAATTATCTCCCAGGCTATTATATTTTAAGTGATATTTGTTGCTGTTGTGTAGATAAGGGAAGTAGATTCCTAAGGAAGCAGGGGGAAAACCATTCAAATTCCTAAATCTTTATGTACATTTGTAGATTTTCTTAAGGCCACATTGTGTGACAAAATATCGAAGGCTCTGGTTCATGATAATATCATGTTATATATTCACCAAATATAAAATACCAGTCCTGTATACAGACCAATTATTTTAACAATTGGAAATGCATACTCAGCTTTATCTTTTCTCAGATTTTTTAAATAGACCTCTCTTTCAGTAGTCCATAGGTAAAATTAAATACATCAGTATCTGCCAAAAGAGATAATTGGGATGATGCTTAGCTCATGAAAAAAAAAAAGGTGGAAAAGTTGCTATTATTTGAATTTAATTCATCCTTTCTCAATTATTTTTAGGATTGGGCAATACTAAATTTATCTAGTTGCTGAGTAGTCTTCTGTTTTAAGAACTTTCTAGATATTATAGACAGCCAGTTGTCATGAGAAATAAACACAGCCTCATTTAATGTGAAAGTTCTTTATTCATTTAACATACAACAAGTTTTAAGAAGTTACTCTTAAAACCTGTTGTTTAAGAAGTAATGCTTGATAAAAGAAAATGATCCATTAGACACTGAAATACTTCAGTGTTATAATTAATATTTACTCTGAACTTAGAATATTTTCATTATCTCAGAACAAAATTTGCTGCTTAGCTGGGTAATCCAGCTTTTATTTCAGTCAGTATTATTGTAAGGTAAATCATCCCAGAAGCCACATTTTAAAATATAGAATATGGGCTGGGAAGTTGGCTCAGTGGTAGAGCACTTGCCTGCATGCCTGAGGCCCTGGGTTCGATTCCTCACCACCACATAAGCAAAAAGAAAAAAGCCGGAAGTGGCGCTGTGGCTCAAGTGGTAGAGCACTAGCCTTGAGCTGAAGAGCTGAGGGACAGCGCCCAGGCCCAGAGTACAAGCCCCATGACTGGACCCAAAAAAATAAAATAAAATAAAATACAGAATATTAGAGTCTTTATTATACAGTTAACAAGGTGCAGGCTACCAGTTGTTACAAAGGCCTGCAGCACTCAAATACACATAACACAGCTAGGAAACATGCTAAAGAGGGAAGAAATAACAAGAACAATACCAACAAGCCAATTCAGCTCCAGTGGAGAGCTGAATTGGGACTCCATGATGACTGGAGATGAGCCAGGAGACAGGACACAGGATACAATCACAGAGACACATGTGGTATGGAGTCCATCAGCTAGGCTGGTCCTGGCCTAAACAGGTCGGCGCAGAGGGCAAATCCTCAGGAAATTCCCAGTCCCAGACACTAGACTGACGGATTCAGTAACCTATCAAACAAGTGCCTGCTCCTGCCTCCAGGAGTCTGGGCATGCCCATTACCTGGGAGGCTGGTGATTGAGGGGGGTTTCCTTCTCCCAGCATGAAGACAAGATGCCAGGACCTACCATCCAGCATGTGGCCAATATGGTGCCAGCCAGACCTGGCCTCCTTACTTTAGTATGTTTACATGTTCTATAGCCAGTCCACTGGGTAGCAGTATTTCTTCTTATCATCTTAAATAGTTGTACAAAGGAATCTCAATTTGTTACTCTATGAGTACAATGCATCTTGATCAATGTCAGCCCTTCCTTCATTCTCCTGCATCTCTCCCAAGTCCTCCATGCCTGCAAGTTACCTGGTTCCATTTTCACATATGTACATTGACTATAATGACTGTATTTGCCCACTCAATCTCTCTCCATTAGTTCCCACTCCACCCCTGAACAACTAAGCAACAGTCTAGCAGAATGAATATGGGGAAGTTGAAACATGTTTACAAGTGATTTAATTAACCATACTTGTCTGTAATAGGTATTAAGCAGTAGTTCTCTAGTATGATCTTTAGGCAGCCAATAGCAGCATCACTTGGGAACTTGTGAGATACATAATCACCTACCCCAAACCTACTACATTATCAGCAACTCTGGTGACATAGTCCAGTGGTCTGCGTTGTAACCATTGCTTCAGGTGATGCTGTAGATGAGAAATGCTCTACTCATTGTCTTAATAAAGAGGAGGTGGGAGTTATGCATAATCATCCAGAAAGTAGAAATTCCATCTCTTCAAGTTACTCAACAGTTGTTTTGTAATTTTATTTGCTCTCTGTATGTCTTAAAATTTATAAGGAAGATCTGAGGGAAATAAATTATTCATGAGTCACATAAAATACAAATTATAACTTTGAGCATTACTTAAAATAATGTAGTGATAAATAAATCACTTTAAAAAATTATCATTTTGATATGTAGACTTTACTTCTTTTACTACTAAAATATATAACTCTTCCCCATCAATTGTACTTTACAAAGTGATAATCTCAGTGCAACATACTAATTATTTATTGCCTTTTACAACAGTTTAGATCCTCACTGCTTTAAGTTCATGATTAGATATTAAGTACTCCAAATAATACACTTCTTACTCTAGGAGATATTCTATTTCTTAGCCCTAGAGATGGAAATCTAGCTGTTTCAAATCCTTCTGGAAAGATATAAATAAATAATTACTGAGTTATATATAATTTAATTCTACCATGTTGGGTTGTTACATGTTATATCAGCTGCATAAGGGCAGCAGCCCCCTAATGATGAGAAACAGAGCAATCACTGCTGTTAGCTTTAATAGCTGAACTGCTAAGATGTGTTCATGAATGATTAATCGTTTCAGTAACACTAGAATTACTGCCAGGGAAAAGGGTATATTTCTTCTTTCTCACTCAAATTCAGTACTCATTTTGTAAAAATATGTCCATACCTCTCAAAATTAGTTCTGAAGTTAAAACTTTTTCTCCCGTTGTTTTATCTTGGTCTGTGTATCACTAGTGTTTGAACTTAGAACCACATGCTTGCTTAGAAGATGCTCTTCCAGCTGGGCACTGGTATCTCACACCATTAATCCCTACATGTGGGGACTATTCCGAAGTAAAATATATAATTTCTAAGACTGTCATGATGTTGGCTTCTGTTTTTGTGCTGATCCTGGGACTTGAAATCAGGGCCTGAGCACTGTCCCTGAGCTTTTGTGCTCAATGCTAGTGTTCTACTACTTAAGCCATAACTCCACTTCTGGCTTTTATTGGTAGTTAACTGGAGATCAGAGTCTCATAGACTTTCCTTCCTGGGCTGGCTTTGAACCTAAGAACTTAGTATCCTTAGTAGTTAGGATTACTGACATGAGCCAGGGCCATCCTGTGCTTTTCTCTTAAGTAGAATGTCTCTCTTACATTTGTTATAAACTGTTTTCACATGATCAATTTATTATCTCAGACAGTAGTATCCAACATCATTGAGTCCTTGGTTTATGTTCAGAGCTCCATTAAATTCTTCATATTTATTACCTAATTTTTCTTTTTTTTTAATTTTAATTTTTTGTGAACATACTGTGCAGAGGGGTTACAATTACATGGGCAAGATAATGAGTACATTTCTTATCAAGCATTGCAGCCTCCTCCTTTGTT